GGCCTATTTTGTTTTTGTTTTTGTTTTATACATACATATATATATATATAATTTTATGTGTATGAGTGTGTTGTCTGCATGTATGTCAGTATACCCTTGTCATGCAATACCCACGGAGGTCAGAAGACAGCATCAGATCCCCTGGAACTGGAGTTATAGAGGATTATTAGATGCTCTGTGGGTACTGGGGGCTGAACCCAGGTCCTCTGGAAGAGCAACCAGTTCTTTTAACCACTGAGCCATCTCTCCAGCCCCTAATTTTGTGGTGTGGTGGCACACGCCTTTAATCGCAACACTTGGGAAGCAGAGGCAGGCGGAGCTCTATGAATTCAAGCCCAGCCTGGTCTACACAGAGAGTTCCAGGACAGCTGGGGCTACAGGGAGACCCTGTCTCATAAAAAAAGGTTTAAAGGGCTAAACCCCAAATTGTTAATAGAGGTTATCACTGGAGCTCTTGCTATAGCCGGTATATGAACGTGGGGTATTTTTCTTTATGCTTTACTGCATGAGTTCTCTACCACAAGCACGCCTTGCTCCTTCAGTTGGAGAAGATATTGGAAAAGGCTCCCTGCTTCCATCCTGCCCCTGGATCTGCTGGGCTGCTGGCTCTGCTTCTGAGCGGCCTGCCCAGCCTTGCTCTGTCCTGTCTATAGGGAACATCTGGTGCCTGATCTTACAGGGCCAGCTGGAGGAGGCTGCGTACCAGCTGGAGTTCTTGAAGGCGGTACAACAGTCCCTTGGGAAATCTGAGGTCAGTGCTCCCTGGGAACAGTGGATGACTCCAGGTGGGGGCTCCCACAGAGGGCAGTCAAGATGCCCCCCTACCCCCAGCCTCACTTGGCCCACCCTACTCCTGCCCAGGCCAGCCTTGGCTCTGAGACCTGGGTCTTTCTTGCACAGGTGCTGTTTTTCCTGCAAGCCCTTGTAGCATCTAAGAAGCAAAATGGAGAGCAGGAGGCCACAGAGCTCCTGAAAGAGGCTGTGGAGCTGCACTTCTCCAGCATGCAAGGCCTGCCCCTGGGTCCTGAGTACTTTGAGAAGTTGGACCCTCTCTTTCTGGTCTGCATTGCCAAGGAGTATCTGCATTTCTGTCCTAAGCAGGTTAGGGGAAAACCCATCTTCATGGCGGGGACCTAAAGCATAGGTATGGATGGTGCCCACCCGAAGAATGAAGGCTCAGGCCTTAGCTGGCCAGCTACCAGGCCAGCCTGAGTCTTAGGCAGTCAGGGAGCTGAATAATTTTCTGTTCTGTTTTGTTTTGCTTTTTGTCTTGTCTTGTGTTTGAGACAGGGTCTCCTCTAACCCAGGCTGATCCCTAAATTGCTATATAGCTAAGGACCACCTTGAATACCTGGTCCTCCTGCCTCTTCCTCCTGAATGCTAGGATTACAGATATGCACCACGACACCCAGTTTATAAAGTGCTGGGGATCAAACTCATTGCTTCCTGTGTGCCAGGCAAATGCTCTAGCAACTGAGCTACAGTCCCAGACCCCAGTGCTTTCAAATCTGAACATGTAGCAGCCAGATCACCTGGGAGATTGTTCCAGTGCAGAGTCTGATGTCACCAGTGAGGCCCAAAGCCTCCCATCTCTCATAAGCTCCCAGGCCTAGCTTAGGTTGTGGTATATGGACCACATTTGGGTGGGGCAGGACTCTGGCCTGGTCATGCCCCGCTTGCTGTATCCTTATAAGAACTCTTTTCCAGCTGAGTGTGATTGCATATGCCTTTAACCCCAGCCCTTGGGAGGCAGAGGCAGGCGAATCTCTGTGAGTTCCAGGCCAGCCTGATCCCTAGTGAGTTCCAGGACAGCTAGGGCTATAGGGAGGCTCTGCCTCAAAAAAGACCCCCCCCAAAAAGTTATAATAGTATTTCACCAGCTCACTAGTAGTTATTGCATAAAACTCAAAAGACGTGGCCGTGCCCTGCATCCTTCTAGAGAAGTCTGTGTGTCAGCATGAAATCTCAGTGTGCATCAACACCCTTTGTTAACTCACATTGCTGCCATCCTAGGCAGACTAGCAAGGGTTAAAGCACAAGTACCAACAGAAAAAGGACAGGTGCAGGTGTGCCTGTGAGTTGGGAAGCAGTGGCCTGTTCCCTCCAGTGGCCTGTGCTCTCTCGTGGCCTGTTCTTTATAGTGGACTGTTATCTCTCGTGGCCTGTTCCCTCCAGTGGCCTGTGCTCTCTCGTGGCCTGTTCTTTATAGTGGACTGTTATCTCTCGTGGCCTGTTCCCTCCAGTGGCCTGTGCTCTCTCATGGCCTGTTCTTTATAGTGGATTGTTATCTCTCGTGGCCTGTTCCCTCCAGTGGCCTGTGATCTCTCATGGCCTGTACTCTATGCACGGGGACACTCTTGGGACAGTTCAGAGAAAAGGAGGATATGGTAGTAAGTGAAGATGAGAACTGAGTGGAAGTGGACAAGGAAACACACATATGGGTCCTGACCTGCAAATGCTCTACAAAGAATGATGACTAATACCTTAAAAACCACGTATAAGAAGAGATGAGCTGTCGCGAGGTAAGCATACAGGAAACTCCTTGGACTAATTAAAGTAAATCTTTACAGTTAAAGCACCAGACCTGCACTCTGAAGATTTCACCCTAATGAATGCTGTGAACCAGTATTAGTCTCATCAGTATTCTATTCCATTAAACGGTTGGAGATAGAAATTCCATTGATGATGGTATAGAGATAGTGTCCCAAACTGAGGTGAAAGGGGGCTGCAGAGACAGCTCAGCAGTCAAGAACACTGGCTGCTCTTGCAGAGGACCCAGGTTCGGTTCCCAGCACCCACACGGTGGCTAACAACCATTCATAACTCCAGTTCTAGGGGATCTCACACCCTCATCTGACCTCCATGGTGAAGGAGGTGCACTTACACACATGCAGGCAGTACGCTCATACACATGAAATAAAATAATAACAAACAATATTTTTAAAAATAAGATGAAAGAAAAATTAATGGCCAGAAAAATGGCTCAGCCATTTTATCATAGCAACAAAAGACAAGACAGAAATTTGTACCAAGAGTGGGATGGTTACTGTGACAAACCTGAGCAGGTGGATTTTAGGCCATTGGACCTGTGTTGTGGGATGAACATGAAAGTGTCTAGAACACTGAACTACAAAAAATAGTGAAGGCCCATCATAGTACGAGCTTGGAAAATAAGAATACTGATAGGAATACAGACTGTGGAGTCCTGTATCATAAGGTTCTAGAGCAGAACAAGGTCTCTACAGACAGGAACTGAGCTTCCAGACACTTGGGTGACATTGTGGCCAAGCATCAAGCTTTATTCTACATGTCCTTAGAACCTGAGTGCAGTGGGATTTAAAAGTGACAGACTCGTTCAGC